TGTGTTGAGAGTATTATGAATGTATTAATTATATTTTTTAATTAATTTTTATGAAAATAAAAATTAATTTTAATTTTATCAACCCTTTAATTAAATCATACATATGTCATTGATATTGAAATTGAAATTAACTTTTGTTTTTTTTTTTATAATTTTTCTAACATATGTCATTATCTTCCAAGTTAGAGGTGAAATTAATGTATTTTTAACTTTTAAGTCATATAAAAAATAAAAAAAAATGATATTTATTTTAGCACTAATTCCACTTATATTAATTTAATGAGTAATTGCTAAAATTAAAATCAACATTTATATTTTCTTTTTCTTTATAAAATTAACATTTATTTTTTCTATATGACTTAAACGTTAAAATATGTAATAATTACACTTTTAACTTATGTCCTAAAATATAGATTAGAAAAGCTCATTAATAAAAATGCGCAACTAATACCCCCTAATACGTACTCTAGGGCTATAAGTTAGATAAACTCTTATTTTTATCACTAATATCAAATTAAAGTTACTTTTCAATTTTTTTTATAAATAAATTAAAAAATATAATTAATACACCATTAACTTCTATTAAAATACCTATTAAAAGTACACTAGTAATCATCAGTTCATCACCAATCTTGAAAGTGATATATAGTTTAAATAATATATAGCATTTTCGCAAAGTTTGGCATTGTTTACTTTGGTGTTTTCTGTCAATTGATAGTGATAAATGTTAACTCATATTAATTTAAAATTTACTTACAGGTCTAAATATTTTAATATACTATTTAGGAAAAAAAATTATAAGATCAAAAAATTAACAAAAGTAAATAAACCTTTAAACTCTATCAATACTCAAAAAATTAAGAGTTTATTTGACAATTAGCTTATGATATTTTTAACATCAGCAGATTACTAAAAGGAATTAATTAACTTACTTCCGACAAGCAGCTATGAGAATCGAAGACAGATGAGACCGAGAATTTTCCAACCTGAACTTTTTCCCTACGCCTTGCATCTCAAGGCAATATTATTTGTACGGCCCAAAATTTGGAAACATTCATCTAAGAGCAGTTCTAGGCAGGGGCGGAGGCAGAAATTTTTTTCCGGGGGGGCAAAATACCAAAATTTTCAAAGTTCAGGGGAGGCTAAATAATTTTTCATATACTAATTTGCAAGATTTTCAAATTTTGGGTGGCGAGCGCCCCCCTCGCACCCCCCTGGCTCCGCCACTGGTTCTAGGGGAACTCGCCTCTTGCACTCTTCGGCCAACACTTCCCCTTTTATTGGGCCACGTTATTTTGTTTAACGAGAGGTTGCAGCTCAAGGCTTAAAACAAGCTTACGTGGCCCGATGAAAGGGGAAGTATTGGCAGGAGAGTGCAAGAGGCGAGTGCCCCTAGCACTGGTCTCCATCTAATGCAAACCGCATGTTGATTATTTGCAAGGCCCACATTATTTAAAGCAAACCGCGTCTTGATTATTTGCAAGGCCCACATTATTTAATGCAAACCGCGTCTTGATTATTTATAGGGCCCATATTATTTAAAGCAAACCGCGTCCTCACCCAACTTACCTCTCTTGACCTTTCAAATAATCGGTTTTCTGGTCCCATTCCAGCTTCCATAGGCAACTTACTATCCTATACCTCTATTCTAACAATCTTAGCGGACAAATCCCATCATCACTTGTAAACCTCACCCAACTTACCTCTCTTACCCTTTCTAATAATCAGTTTTCTGGTCCCATTGCAGCTTCCATAGGTTAACTTAAGGCAACTTACTAGCCTGCGCCTCTCTTCTAACAATTTTAACAAACAAATCCCATCATCACTTGCAAACCTCACCCAACTTCGCGATCTCTTCCTTTCTTATAACTTACTTAATGGCATGTTGCCACTTTGGATTTTCAACCGACCTTTCTTAGAGTAAGACATCTAAAGTTTGGCATTGTTTACTTTGGTGTTTTCTGTCAATTGATGGTGATAAATGTCTGATTTCTTCTTCTATGGCTAGGGCACCATTGGGTTCTCTCAAATTCCTCTCTGTTCTCTCTTTCTGATTCCTCTTTGCTTTCTATCTTTTCATTTTTCATCGGTGGCCAAGGGCCTTTAAAGGGAGAAAACTCAAAAAA